GAGAAGTGACGCTCCTCGTGGAGGACCTCTCCTTTTATATGGCGAGTTAGTGACGCCGAGAGCAGAGTACGTGTACTGCTGAGCCAATCCAGGGTTAAGGATATTGTTTATGTGTCTAAGATACTCGTAACTTTCGTCAACGAAATCGTCATTTCTCGAGTGTCTAATAGATGCGAGCCACATGTCATTTATTGCTCACAGCCGCTTTTTCATTTTACAAAGCTTAGTCTGTTTGTTCTTAAGTTTCGCCTATCTGGCCCTTGGTTCCAATATCAACCCAACGGTTCTGTCCCGAATGGTTTATTAGTTAAAAACTGAGCATTTATTGTTCTCAGCTCTTATTTCATTTTATAGTCCTCGAGATAAGGTTTGTCTATTTGATACTTGGTTCAAATATCTAACCCAACGGTTCAGTCCCGGATGGGTTGTTAGTTTAAAACGAGCATTTATTGCTCTCAGCTCCTATTTCAAGTGGTTTACTGCTCACTAATTCTTTGTGATGACGAAAGTTTCTTGTCAAAGAAAAGAACTGTGGAGTCTGGACGTAACAGCAGAAAAAACTCAATCTATAAAGCTATAATTAATAATTCAGAATATCACTATAGTGTATCTAGCCCTTTTCATAACTAATAAATGAACTAATCAAATATTTTTATTGTAGAATATTAAGCTTTTTTCTTATCTAATAATTATTTTTTATATTCTTAATGATAATAAAGTACAAAAAAAAGTTATTTTTTGAAAATCCTGAGAACTCAAAAAGAACGGCTTTAGTGATTCCTCTTTTGCATTCAAAATGTAATTATATGGATTACAAAGTTTATTAATAAATATTTATTAGACATTTCGAACGCATTAAAAATAATGTATATATATATATATGTATATATATATATATATATATGTATGTATATATATATATATACCTATATAAATTAACATTTTGTAAAAATAATTACATAAACAGGTAATGACCTACCGTGATTGCTAATGCACATGATTACTAAAAAAATATACTGCAGTATAAAAATCATCAAATATAAGCCCGTTGAAATGTGAAAATGTGCCAAGGTACATGTTGACGGAATAGCATATCCTGCTTGATGGCCCAGAATAGTTATATTAATTTTGGCTTCCTCACTGCTTAGTTTTGCATGTCCCACGATGAAGATTACCGAATCGACATAAGAGATCAATAAGGCGATAATGCAGATTATCCTTCCCCAAAAAGCATGATTTCGCATAATGATGCGTTTCTTCTCGGTGTCGATTGTAACATAATCGTTCATAGCAGAAGAGTAATTGCAAATCAGATTATCAGCATATATACGAAACCATGTTATTTTTGTTAAAGCAAGAATACCGCATGTAAAAATCGTGAGAGCGTCAAGATTCGCGGTTGCGCTTGTGCAATTGTAATAGAGTTCGAGATACTGTACGATTACCACCACACTCTACACATAAAATAAAAATGGATCTGTTTATTAAGATTCGACTATGTGAGCAAAATAAAATATCTATTATTTTATAGTAAATATTCACACATCGAAGACACAAGAAGAAGAAAAATTTCGTTTCACGACGTGAAAATTGGAAACGTACCAACCCAAAACTAGACAAGATATGACGCAATAAAGCGAACTTATTGTATTCTTGCAAGGGCCAAGCACCTATGGGTACAGTTAAGTGTTTGACGAGGGTCATAGCGTACGCTATATCGTCATTCGATGACATTATGGTAGTCAAGGAGAGATGCACTGTATTCACAAATGTCAGTCTTAGTCCATAATGCGATAAAATTCGCGTTTGTATTCATATTTTATTGAAGTGTAGGCACCATTTGAATACTTATCCGTATGCTCTGTTATTTTCCGAAGTACAGTTGTTCAGAACAATTGATGTAAACTTATTTTTATGAAAGTACAAAAGGGTAAAAAACAAAAAGAAACCGGAAAGAGAAGAGAAAGTTTTATTTTCGTTTCGATACATCGTCTTCGATACGACTATCATGTGTCGTCAACATTATAGTGTAATTTCTCCTGCAATACATGTTTTTATAAAGAAAAGTATAAAGAGTATGGCACGGTTCTTAATTCAATTTATCATGAATCATCGCTAAATAATTAAAATTTTTTTGCGTGCATATTTTGTTAAAGGTGCGCAATTTTAATGTCCAACAACTCATCAAGTATTTATCAATTCGTGTAAAACAAATAAGATATAAGGATTTTAAAATTTTATTTTGATTTGTTCAGATTGAGATTTTTCGCAAGATATAATTTTTAATTTGATAAAAAGTTGTCCTTACATCATAATAACGACTATCTTTTTTGTCATATTTATAGGAAGAAGATTATAAGTGCTTAAAAAAATAGACTGTACATAGATTGGTAAAACAGAAAATAACAAATGTGTACACAAATGTGTATACGTAATAAATATATCCCTTGGTTAAGAGCAGTTAAGGTTGAAAGTAATAAACAGTGTAAGGTACTGAAATATAATATACTATATATTTTTCATTTTACTTATTAACATATATAACTTTTTATACAGCAGGAATTATTGAGGATTTTCTGATTCATTAATTGTCACCTGTAAAAACGATATGTATGTTAAGGTGGTTTTCAAGATATCTGTCATAGTGTTTCGCGTAAGATAGAAAAATTTTCCGGCACTAATTCGAAGAGGAGTCTTCATTCTCATCATAATGAATATCAGATCTTTCACCATGACAGGTGACATTTCGTCCCATGCAGTGCTGTATATAGCGTAGACAATTGACTCGCTTCGATTCTTCAAAGTATCGCCGGCATACGTATACAAAAAGGTTTGTACCATATAAAATTGGATGGACATGAACATTTTTATCATTTCCTTGTAATCTTGTTGCTTAATTGATAGGAGAATCCCTACTCCTGAAAACACGCAGCTTTTCGAATTATGAATGTATTATGTTAATTTAGATTTTTAGACTGGATGTATTTTATGCATTAAAGTATTTCATAATAAGTTTTATAACTTTTATTAATATTTTATTATTTTTTATATTGATACTTTAATCTTTCTTATTATGAATTTTACTTTAAAAGTAATTCAATCATTCTAATTACATAAGTATATTGCAAAACTGTTTTTGTCATTTTTATAATTTTTACTGGCAAGTTTTAAGATATACTTTTATGCTTTTGTAATATATCAACAAGAATCAATATAAAATCAAAATGATTTATTCCTGATAGATTCATACCTGAGGATGCAATAACTACGCTAATTATTAAAAATCGTAGTAAAATGTTGATATTAAAAGTGTCTTCAATATTCCTGGTCAGTGCTATCAACTGGCAATGTCTTCTGACTAATGGCCCTAAAACATTTCTATGACGCTTTTTGTCGTAATGTTTCTTGTTAATCTCCGTAAATTCTATCCCCAAAAGTTCTAGTTGACCACAAAGATGCATAGTGATGCCGAAGAAAAAACTGTCGCAAGCACATTCTGATATCAATATCAAAGATCCTTGTACTACTTGCATCATAAATAATATTTTGTACGTGGAATACGAAACCCCTTTGTACAGACACGTTGATGGAATGACAAAATTCCACGTAGCTACAGTATCATTATCTATAATTGCAGCCTGTAGAATATATGTATATTAATTTTTACGAAATAAAACATTTCCTTTATTGACAAAATAAATTTCAATTTTATTCAACAATAGTCTTATGAAGATTTAATACAACCTCTTGTTTATTGCTGAGGAAGACGGATATGAACCATAAGGCGCCTGCTGTTGCTCCAGCGATTAATTGAGTCAGGGCGATTAGACGTCCTGCACGTGCATATCCCATCATCATCATGCGCGACTCTTTTTTCATAGACGGAGACGACCAGTCGTCGATCGCAGAATTGACATTAATGGCAATCTTTTTCATGTAAATTCGTGGAAAAACAATGTTTGACCACGCATGCATGCAGCTTTCTATTAGACGAAGAATATCCAAACCGTCTCTAACAGCATCACAGCTCTTGAAAGATTCTATCAGCACGTTGATCATTGTGAGAGACTGTACGGTAGCAAATATAAAATTGCATTCTCATGTGAAGTTGCACTACATCAAAAACAGTAAATATCGAGAAACGACGTTTAAACTGTTTATAAAATTTTAATCACCAATTGTTCTTTATGCTTAAATTATGATTAATTATAATAAATTATTGTGTATCAATATGTATCTTTCAATGTATTATATTTTATATACTTTTTATATAATGTCATTACTCGTATTATAGAATTTATTCCAATCACATACAGATATAATAGACTTAATTATTGAACAATTTAAAGTTAAAATTCTTATAATTTTCAACTTGAAAAAGATTTAAGTAAATGCAGTGCAACTGTTTACCTTAATTTTTATATTAAGAAATTGCATATTTTTTTCTCTTACCATTACAAGTAGCTAATTTCTACATTGTATGTTATCTTACATTATGTTACGTTATTTTACCCCTGTTATAAATATTATGAACCATTGAATCGTGTAAACTACATTATCCTGCTGCAAAGGCCATAAACCAAGTATCCACATCATAGATTTTATCGTAGAGAAACCATAATCTATACCACTGTTCCAATTTGTCTTCATGTTCGGCGATGTATTAGTTGGTTTCGACCCCAAAAAGAAAAATTGTAGTCCTGCGTGACCGGATATTGTTCGGGTCGATGGCTTACTTTTGCCCCGAAGCAAATTATTGCGTCTATATGCATCTAGTCCTTCCGCACTGACCAACCTTTAGGGTGATAAGATAAGTATACGAGTATGATACAAATTTATGTCTCTCTACCGCATCTTTCGAACGCTCGCGGATAATGCGCACAATTTTCAATGTATACTGCTGTGTCAGCGCATAGACACAGATGTTCGCGGTCAATTACGAGTTGAACGACGATGTTCTGTATATAGGTTTACATTTCTTTTCCACGAATAAAATGTTTTTTTGTTATATCACCTAAGCGACGTAGTGAATAAAGTAAAAGAAAAAAAGGACTGAAGCTATCTATCGGCAGTACACATGTGACAAAGTAGAAGAAGTTATGGTTATGAAAGGTACAATGGAGTTTCTGTGCATTTCTGTTCTAGGAGCATTGCTAAACTTTTGATAATAATTATTAAAATAATAATAATAATAATATAGTAATAAGTAATTATTATTTACTTAAAATAATAATTAAAACTATTTATTTTTCATTTGTTATTAACAATATAATAATTATATATAAGAATCATAAGTATATATTTAAAAATATTTTAATTAAATCTATTTTATATAGTGTTAATTTTTATATAATTTTTATTCTGCAAGTTCTAGGCACCTATCATGAAATAAGTCGAAATAGATTTCGATCGTAATTATTCAATTATTCTCTAGATTTTTATTGTGTTTTCTAGAGAAAACGGAATAATTTCGATCGGAATTCATTCTGACATGTTCCATGATAGGTACCCTGATTAGATTTATTGATTTTTATTAATCTTTTAGCGCCATTCGCAAAACCGAAATATATGAAGCTGCCGTCTTCAGAATGTACACAATTGCCTCGCAATTAGCGTAGAAAAATTTTCCACCAGTGAAACGAAACGGATAGCTTGACCTCATCATAGCAAAGTTCAAGTCCTTCATCATCGTTGCGGGAAATGTAAACCAGGAAGCCTTAAACATTGCATGGAATATATCTTCACTTCCTTTTTGTATAAAATCACCGCCATAACAATACAACAGCGATTCCATAAGCATATAATTCAAAAGTAAAATACTTTTCATTAATTCGACATAATAGTGATGTTTTAAACAAAATATTATACGTAATCCTGAAAGAAACAAAAAAATGAAAACTTAAAGATTAATATAATATAATACGATTAAATTTTTAATCACAATATAATATAATACGGTATATTTGAATATCTTAATAAAAAATAAGAATTTATAAAAAATCATTAAATTTACAATAAATTCGACGTGTAATGTTTGATACGATACCTAGTAACGCAAGCAGAAGCGTTACTATAACAAGTTGGAACAATATAATCAGATTGAACGTATCTTCTAAATTCTGATTGAGTTCCGTTAATTCGCAGTGCCTGTTAATCAAGCTAATAAAGCGCTTCCGATGATTTATCTGAGTGTCTGGCTTGCTTGCAAAATTTTTAAATTTTTTTTTTAATACTTTAAGTTGACCAGTGAGATGTAGAGTAACATTAATATAAAAACTGTCTCCAATAGGTTGCATTATACATATCACGAGTAATTGAACAGTTTGAAAGCCGATGACCATCGAGTACTGTAAGCCGTTAATTTTGTTACCGAATTCACCACATGGAATTATAAACAACTTATCTGTTGCACTAACATTACCTGGATACAATAAGAATACAATTCTTAAGAACAATAATATAATTAATTTAGATATTAGAATAAAAGAGTTAAAGTTAAAAAAAAAACAAATAATAAAATAATATAATAAACATAGAATTAAAGCTTCAATGCTTTTTGTTTAAACATTTTTAAGATTCTAGTAAAAAAATTTTAATTTAGATTATGTCTATTCATATAGGGTTGCCAGTAGTTACAATGAAATCAACACTACGACTGTCAATTAACGTCAAGGTTCTGTCAATCAGTATTGAGCCGTCACTGGTAAATAATTGGCTAAAATGACTGGACCAGTACTATCTGCCAGTACTGAGCCGAAATTATCATCCAGTATTTAGCCAGTACTGGGCTAGTAGTTTGTCAGTATTGCCTCAGTACCTGAACTGTGGCAACTAGTAATGGCCCAGTATTGGGTCGATTGAACCCTATATGGGTATTTTATTAAATGAAAATGCTAAATGATAGTTACTTATATGATTGCATATATTTTGTATGTTTTTCTCTTAAGATAAAATTTTCCTAGAGTAGAAAATTCAATATAGTAACAAAAAAAAATAATTTACAAAATAAATTTATTTCTAATACACTCTAAGTATAAGCCAAATGTTATTTGTTGCCATTTTAATGTCAAAATGTAACTAAAAACATCATTTTTATTAACGTCAAAATGACAAATAACGTCGTCTTGGTAGGACAATACTGAATAATAAAAAAAATATGGACTTTTTTATTTCTTAGAATAATTCCTCGTAATTGTTATTAACATTCTAGCATGTTTATTTAAAAAGTATTTTTTATTGGATAATAATTCAACAAATATTCCAAAAACGTCACATTACCATTTGATACATTCACCATTTGATCTTGTAAAAATATTTCTATTAAGTTCATAACTAAGACGGACAGCATATAGAGAGAACCACACATGAAAGCTGAATACAACATAAAAAGAGTACACAGTCTGGATTTAGACGCATATTTCTTCATAACCTTATACGATTTCTCATCATTTTTTGCAGACAGCCAATCGGCAACAGCAGCTTTAATATTTTTAGCTAACTTTTCTCTGTTAGCAGCAATAGCGATATATTTCAAATTTAAACTCAATGTGCATGAAAGATACAATATGGCATCTATATTTGATCCGGTATCACCATTATTTCCAGTAAATTCCATAAACAGAAAGATGAGTGGTGAAAGCTAATAATAATCCCATTGCCTTAGAAAATATGCATGTATAATAATGAGTGTAAAATATATTTGCACTTGAAAAGTTTGCACTATTTACGAAGACACTTGATAATTTTTTTGTGCATAAATTCTTAGACTTAATAATTTCGTATTGTCCAGTATACTTATTCTCTTTCTGTTGCAACGTTTTTACAATTTATTTCTTCCCTGTCAATGTACTATCAACGTACCTGTAGAAATATCATTACGTTCCATTGGATTATCGTGACTATTGTCCTCTTTTGTAACGGCCATATACCGAGTATTTGCATAAATGTTCTATGAGTAGAGAACACATAAGCGATATCATCGTTCCAAACATCATCAGACATTATAGTGATCACACAAACTACACGGATGACTGAACATTCAAAACTGTCCGGTCGTTATGGATGCAATTTTCGATGTCGCAAATTCAATGTCAATTTACGAACGTTTTTGTCATAAAACATTATTATAGGTACAATTTTCAATATTGCAAATTCTATGTCAATTTACGAATGTTGTTATGGAACATTACTATGGGTACAACTTTTAATATCGCAATTTCAATGTCGATTTATGAACGTTGTCATGAACATTACCATGGGATATGCAGATAAGACATTATTATCACCATTAGGCTCATGTTTTATTAGTTTATACAATGCATGATGAATGGTAGTAAGATAAACGTGAAAAGATACTAGTACGCATGTCTACATCTTCCATAATCCTACAGTACGAGCGCAATAGAAAAAAGATCGTGTTAGTAGTGATGTCGAAAAAAATGTGCGTCGTTCGATATAAAATGAATGAATTCAGAATTTAAAAATTATGCAGTATAATTAAAAAAATGTAAAATCTCTTCCAATTTAATTGATAACGTTGATGTATTATTGTATTTCAAGACAAGTGTGATCCGTAATGCAACCTATTCTTGACATGGATTTTTGGGTTTCAATAGAATATTAAAAAAAACATCTTAAGCAATACATTGCAATGATTCTACTTAATAATTGAACATTCAAAATTAAATATAAAGGATAAAAGATAATAATCATTATGTTTAAAGTATGTTAGTAAAGTATAATGAGTTAATAATATGATATTTGCAAAGTGATATTTATAATTATTGATAACATTACAATTATTAACAACTTAACATAATAAAAATAAGTTTACAGAAGTATAGAATAAAAACAAACAAAAATTTTTTCTAAAAAACATATAAATACAATATTAAAGTAATAATTTCTTACAAGCTTTTTCAAGTATATATATTTTTCAAAAAAAACACATTTCCCATGATTAAAAAAAAAACATCTTTCCGTCGAATATGGCCAACCCTGTATTTCTATGAATTTTTTTATAGTATAATACTTTTAGAAAAAATAATCGATTTTCGGCACAATTAGACGATTATATTGTGATGACAAGAGCAATTTTATTAAAATAATATTCTAATAATCTTTTATTTATACAGAATTTTTTCTTGTCAAACATAATTCCAAATCGTAGATTTGTACAATACTTTGTAAAGTTTACAAGTACTTTGTTTTCATTACGAGTATTATATTTTATGTTTCTATCATTACACGTAACACAGATAGATACGAAATAGAAGTTTTCAGAATACTCATATATGTTGCCAGGTTTACCACAATGAAATTTCCAGCCAGCAGCTTGGCGGGAGATCGTGTTCTCATAATGATGAAGATTAAATTTCTCGCCAACTTGGTAGGAAGATCGTACCAATTGCTCTGATAAATGAAAAATCCAATTTCTTCCATTTGAGACTTCAAGTGATCGCCGATAAAACTATATATGGACAACTGCGTTAAGAAGGTACATAATACCATAGCGCTTTTCCCCATAACAACAACATTATGTGTTTTTAATGCTAAGATAAACTGAAAACCTGAAAAATTAATCTGCTTAAGATTCTCGTAACATATATATTTTGAATAATTTTATAATATCATAAATACAATATTTACCCATTATACACAACAGAATGCTGCTAATAAATAACTGCGTTAGCAAAACTATACTGATCGATTCGGTCAATTCCTTGGCTAATTCTATCAGATAGTTATGCCTTCGAATTAGATCATTGAAACGATCATATACTTGCGGACTTGAGACAACAAAGTTGACGAAATTGGCTTTTAGAATTTTTACTTGGCCGCACATATGCAATGTAATATTGAGAAACAAAGAATCATTACCTTTATAAAAAGAAAAAAAAGAAATACAATAATATAAATTTTATTTCATATATTAATGTAATAAAAAATATATATACAGAGCAAATCAGGGGAATCTTACAATATTTAAAATAAAATAACATTACAAAACATAATTAAAATATTAATTGTTTTTTAATAATAAAAAATAGAATGCTATTTGAGTATTGCACAAAGCAGTTCTGTCAATTTTCTAATATGATTGCACTTAGTTCTTCGCTGGATCTAAATGTAAAGATCAATTGAAATAAAATATTCTATTTTCTGTTGTTATACAACAATAAATTAATATTTACGTTATATTTTATATTATTATCATATTTAAAAAATTGCAAAGTTCCCACAGCCTAAACCCAGTAGTATTTTATTAAATTCCTTATATTATCTTTATCTACAGAATTACATCTTGTTTTTATGTATAACGTTTTTATAAATATATTTTCTGCTTTTATATTGTTCTCTAAAACTTTTAGAGTGAATCTTTGTAATTAGCAATAAACAATTAATAATAGCTTCAATAAAGTTAATAAAATATTCAAATACAATTTTGTGTTCAGATTTCCGGTATATTTTAAATAACATTACATGATGACGAGAGATGTAAAAAAACATATATATTAAATAACAAATAGATATTACCGTGATTACAGGTACACGTAAGTACTAGCACAATAAACTCGAAGATACAGATAAATTCATGCATGCTTCTTGGGACATGCAAATATTCTAACGCGCATCTTGATGGCATTGGATAGTCCAATACTATGTCTTCATTTGTTCTGTTGATCTGGACATCTTGATCATCAACCAGATTTTCACCAAGAAGAGGTATTAGCGAATATATTGTTACACTAATGTAAGAAAAACACACCATGAAACAGGAGAGAATTCTTCCCATAAAAGCGTGTTTTCGCATGATGGCACGATACTCTATGTTTTTAATTGTCAAATAATCATTCCGGGCAGAACTGTAATTGTCAGTTAAGTTTTTCGCGTAAATACGGAAACATATAGTCTTGAACACTCCGAGTACACCGCAACAGGCTAACATGAGACCATCTATATTTTGCTCTGTGTTAGTACAGCCCATGTGAAACTCCATGGAAGGCAAGATCACTATTATGCTCTGTTGATATGCATAAATGATATATTCTCACAATCGAAAAGTTTCTGTGTCTAGAAAAAAATATGTACTAATTCCAGATCGACGGATCTTTGAAAATATTAAAATTTAATTATAATATAATTTTTAGAATTGGAGTAAATAAGCTTCCATTTTAGTTCTCTACGTATATATGTAAAAATACATAAGAATTATCTGAACTAATTTAAAGATATGCAAAATTGAACACTTCATAACTTTAATATTAAAATATTTACAAAGCAAAGTTATTATACAATGGATAATATAATAGTTATATAAATTTTTTTGTGCTAAAAATAAAAATTTGATAAAAATAATACCAATAAAAATCTTTTTTTAATTTTATATATAAATTTTATTTATCTAATTTATTTTCTGTGTATATATGTAATTTATTATTTCTGATACTATATTACCAAAGATGTTACATCAATGCTATTCAAGACAAATGACGAAGTCACAAAGTAAGCAACATAACGTATCTCTAGAATTTCTTAGAAATAGTTATCCTTCACATAAACAAGAAATAAACCATAAGTCCTAAGTAGAAATATCTTCATTGAACAATTTACAATGATTGTGTCTATGATATTCTCTATTAATGACTTATTACTTCTGAAAAAAACTCGTTTTTTTAATAAAAAAAAAACACACAATTTAGCGATGTCATCACTAATAGGATACCTATCGTTTAAAAATTTAAACACTTGATATTATTATCGATATGAATGAAGTTTTATTTTAATTGTTGTGGTGTTAACGTAAAAGTTCCATCTACGTATTGTGACAAAAATCGTCAAAACTGAGACGATACCATGCAACAAGTGACCAAGACACATCGTATTAGCGAATAGATGTTATAAACTTGAAGTGGCCAAATGCCGATGGGCCACGTTAACAGTTTGAAGGGAGTCATCGCATATGCGACGTCGTTCTTCCATCGTTCACTTGCCATCAGGTCGACGTAATAACTGTAACTGATGCCAATAACCAATAATGTGCCCAGTACATCGACACAACGCAGGTATTCATTTTTTATTCAACTTGAAACATATACCCGCTTATCAACCTATCTTCGCTGTCTTAACGCATTATCAGAAAGTGCAGGATATTATGCTTTTACACCAAATTGTTTTTGAAGAATTTATGTAACCATTTCTTCTAAGTTGTTACGAACATTGAACTATATTCTTTTCTGCATGGAGAAACCGACAGACCGTTTACTTGAACAATTCAGTCACTACATTACTCTCTGTGTAGTTCTATTTCAGTTTCGCAATGCAGACGCAACAATGTCGATCGAATTTTATTAATTTTATAAATTAAGTTTAAAAGTAATATAACTGGTGAGTCATACATATCTCGTTTTTATTTCGCAAGTCAAAAAGTAAAAAGCAAAAATTTTCTAAACTTTAACTAAATATATTTATGTTTCTAACAGTATTTATTGAACGATCATAATTTGTAATACGGAAAAATAAGAAGCCGAGACTTTCAGAATATTTTTAAAACTATTAAGATTTATAATATAAAATTTATCTACTCTTATACGAACGGATTCTAGCACGAACAATTATAAAATATATAATATAATCTCGCCGAATTTTTGTAGACGAATCATACCATTTACTTAAATAAATCACACGAAAAATTGCATTTTTGAAGACAAAGTTTTTTTCTGTATAAGAAGCTGATATAGTTGTCTAAAAAACATTCGTATCATTATAATGTATTAAAAGAGATTATACATTTTGTAACTAAAAAAATTCACAATTTACTAACAACAAATTGAGCTGTAATTTTGAACAATACTTGATATTCACTATCTATTTTTGCAACAATTAATCTTATTATTATTCTTTTTTAAATGATTAATTGGACATAAAACGAGCACGCTGTGATACAGAATTAATATTGAAAAAAAAGAAATATATAGTCTGTATTATTCATATTATCTATTAAACATATAAGCAAAGCGTGGAGGGTTAGTATAGTCATTAAAATGACTATATCAACAATGTCTTTGGCTAGATTTAAAAGCAAACAGTATCTTTCGATTATCATAACTATTTCAGTTTGTTTCCAATATCCGTTTTTCTTACATCTCTTTGTGGAACAGTAACAGCTCTATGTAATAGGCTGAGCACTTTCAATTGACTACAGAGATGCATGCAAAAGGATCGGTGGCAACATTTCCTGTAGATATGCTGATTAACTAAAAAAAGAAATATATATTAATATATATTAAATATATAGTAAGACATATATATTGTTGCAAATGATCTAAGCATCGAACAAACAGATAATCTCTTGAGGCAGTTCCATGCACATCTTTATCAGATTTGGAGTTAATATTTTGTGAAGTAGGCGACATCGCAAAGGATAGAAATGACCTAATCATTGGTATAATAATAAAATATAAGAAATTACTAAAAGAAGAATTTGCTTATACGTTATGTAAACTATCATAACAGTATGTTGTCATAATAATAAAAAATCATAATAATAAATTAAATATGAAGAGAGGTATATAAGATATATTCGAAGAATACATGTATATTTTTATTAGAAAATTTTACTAATAAATTTTATATGTAAGCGTATAAACAACAGTTCACAAAATTAATAATTATTCTATCTCAAAAAAAAAAAAAAGAAAATATCAATACAAAGTTTCTGCCATGATCGAAACTTGTCATGAGCCGAACAGCCACAATACTCGCTGAAAGAAAATTTGTGCAATATTTTTTTATTCTACGGTTTGCATGACGCTATACATTGCATACATTAAGGATTACGGTGTTATCGAGCGTAAGCAGCTAACGCAGTTCATATTTTCATTTATTACTTATCGATCGGAACGCATTTCGCTATGCACCCCGACGTTGAATATTTCTGTAGCTTTGCGAATTTGTAACCATTGCACATGGCCGGGAAGTGACTATTCGTCATTTGTAATTCGTAACACTTTATAGCTCTAATACGTGTCATTGATCTAATAGCATAATGATAGACCATATGTCATTTTCTCATATAGAGTCCCTTTGACCCTTATACAAGGGCAGTGGAACAAGGTACTACCTTTTTTTCTTCAAACTTTTTGATTCTTAATATTTAACTAATTGACGTGCACATTGATATAATTTATACTTCCGAAAATTTGAACTATTTTCTGTAATATTTTCTAGTCATCTGTTCATCAATTAAGAATATATATTTTTAGTTATAAACAATTTCAAACCAAAAACGCAATTTAATATAAAATATTGTTTATATTACGTGTCTTTTCAGTACTGGCAGTGTATACCAAAACACGGTTTTACTTTCATCATGGGAATTCTATTTTGGAGAATCGACTTAAAAAAAAATCATTTTACTGGAACAGTGGTAAAAGATCACATAACACTATGACTATTATGAGATGTTTACAATACACGGATAAGTAAGAATAAGAAGTAAGAATAAGAAATTAATCAATAATAGTCGAATGTGAAAATTATAATCGATTGTGATTAGTCAATTTCTTACTTTTACTTCTTATTTCGTAGACAACGCCTACTGTATGGTTCTTGCTTACGAGAAAGTAAATTCCGTTGTCTCCATCTATCGGCAATATCTACAATATTATAGAAAGTAAAAAAAATATTCTAGAAAGTAAAAAAAAATCGTATAGAATAGAATAAAATGCATAACATTATGAATTTTTTGAAATATTTAATAATGAAATAATGATAAAATAATGCCTTGAAGCCTCCAAAATAAAGATGAAATATTTTGATATAATTTCGTTGATTAATATAATTTAGTACAATATAATTACTGATAAGTTAATAATTTAATACAATAAAAATGAATTTTTACAAAAGTATAAAACAATAATATAAAAACAAAAAGTGACATTTTTTTGTAAAAAACATATAGGTACAATATTAAAGTGGTAATTCCTTACAAGACAGCATGTCTTTTTCAAGTAAGTATATATTTCTGAAACTTTCTTTATGAGAAGAAATAATCGATTTTCGACACAATTAGACGACTATATTGTGATTGTAAGAGCAAGGTTATTAAAATAATATTCTAATAATCTTTTATTTATACAGAATTTTCTCTTGTCAAACATAATTCCAAATCGTAGATTTGTACTTTGCAATGTATTCATATTACGAGTGTTATATTTTATGTTTCTATCATTACACGTAACAGAGATAGATACGAAATAGAAGTTTTCAGGATACTCATATATGTTGCCAGATTTACCACAATGAAATTTCCAGCCAGCAGCTTGGCGGGAGATCGTGTTCTCATAATGATGAAGATTAAATTTCTCGCCAATTTCGTAGGAAAATTGTACCAATTGCTTTGATAAATAAAAAATCCAATTTCTTCCATTTGAGACTTCAAGTGATCGCCGACAAAACTATATATGGACAACTGCGTTAAGGAGGTACACAATACCAAAGCGCTTTTTCCTATAACAACAACGTTGTGTGCTTTTAATGCTAAGATAAATTGAAAACCTGAAAAATTATTCATCTGCTTCAGATTCTTGTAACATACATATTTTGATAAACTTTATAATGTTATAAATACAATATTTACCCATTATACACAACAGAATGCTGCTAATAAATAACTGCGTTAGCAAAACTATACTGATCGTTTCGGTCAGTTCCTTGGCTAATTCCATTAGATAGTTATGCCTCCTAATTAGATCATTGAAACGATCATAGACTTGCGGACTTGAGACAACAAAGTTGAAGAAATCGGCTTTTAGTATTTTTACTTGACCGCACAAATGCAACGTAATATGGAGAAACAAAGAATCATTACCTTTATACAAAGGAAAAAAAAATACAATGATACAACTTAATATATGTATACTTAATATACCTAATATATTATACTTAATATAATAAAAAAAATACATATACAGAGTAAGTCACGGAAACCTTACAATTTTCAAAATGAAATAACATTACCAAACATAATTTAATATTAATTTTTTCTTATATACCAATAAAAAATAGAATGCTATTTGAATATTGGACAAAGCAGTTCTGTTAGTTCTTTAATTTATAATTGGTTCCTGCATTTAATTCTGTGCTATATTTTAATCAAGAAATCGAAATAAAACATTCTATTTTCTATAGTTATATAACAAGAAATTAACATATTTAAATTATATTTTATATTATTATCTATTAAAAATTGTAAAGTCCTGTAGCCTACTCTGTAATATTTTGTTAAATTCTTTATATATATTATGTATATCTACAGAATTACACCTTGTATTTACGTATAACATTTTTATGAAAATATTTTCTACTTTTATTCTCTAGAACTTTGAGAGTAAATCTTTATAATTAGTAATAAACAAATAATAATTACTTCAATAAAATTAATAAAATATTCGGATATAATTTTGTGTTCAGAATTCTGGCATATCTTAAATAATATTTCATGATGGGAAGATGTAAAGAAATATATATGTATTAAATAATAAATGGATATTACCGTGATTACAGGTGGACGTAAGTATTAGCGCAATAAACTCGAAGATACAGATAAATTCATACATGCTCCTTGGGACATGTAAATATTCTAACGCACATCTTGATGGCATTGGATACTCCAATACTATATCTTCATTTGTTTTGTTGATTTGATTATCTTGATAATCAACCAGATCTTCACCAAGAAGAGGCATTAGCGAATATATTACCACACTAATGTAAGCAAAACACACCATGAAACAGGAGAGAATTCTTCCCATAAAAGCGTGTTTTCGCATGATGGCACGGTACTCTGCGTTTTTAATTGTCAAATAATCATTCCGGGCAGAACTGTAATTGTTAGTTAAATTTTTCGCATAAATACGGAAACATATAATCTTGAACACTCCAAGTAGACCGCAACAGGCTAACATGAGACTGTCTATGTTCTGCTCCGTGTTAGTACAACCCAGGTGAAACTCCATGGAAGGCAAGATCACTATTGTGCTCTGTTGATATCGGTAAACGGTATATTTTCTCAATTAAATAGTTTTTGTGTTTTTACTAAAAATATGCCCCAATTCCAGATCGACAGATCTTTGAAAATATTGAAATTTAATTATAAGATAAAATTTTTTGAATTGAAATAAATAAGCTTCCATTTTAGCTCTTTACGTATAATATAAATACATTAGAATTATCTGAACTAATTTAAAGATATGCAATATTTATTAAACACTTTATGACTTTAATATTAAATTTTTTACAAGGCAAAGTTATTATATGGATAATATAATGGTTATATATAAATTTCGTGCTATAAATAAACATTTAATAAAAATATTATCAATGAAAATCTTTTTTTAATTTTATATGTAAATTTTATTCATCTAATTTATTTTCTGTGTATGCGATCTATTCTTTTTGATATGATATTATACCAAATATATTACATCAATGCGATTCTTAAATACACACACACAAATAAAGCTACAAAATAAACGACATAACACATCTCTAGAATTTCTTAGAAATAGTTGTGCTACCCTTCACATAAACAAGAAATAAATCGTAAGTTCTAAGTAGAAATATCTTCATTGAACGATTTATAACAGTTAATTATTTGTGTGTTTATGATATTCTTTATTAATGACTTATTACTTCTGAAAAAAAATCGTTTTTTTCCTGAAAAAAATACAATTTTGCTACGTCATCACTAATAGGATATCTATTTAAAAATTCAAACACTTGATATTATTATCGATATCAATGAAATTTTATTTCAAATATTGTGATATTAACGTAAAAGTTCTATCTGCGTATTATGACAAAAATCGTCGAAACCGAGACGATACCAGGCAACAAGTGGCCAAGACACATCGTATCAACGAAAAGATGTTATAAACTTGAAGTGGCCAAAGGCCGATGGGCCACGTTAACAGTTTGAAGGGAGTCATCGCATATGCGACGTCGTTCTTCCATCGTTCACTTGCCATCAGGTCGACGTAATAACTGTAACTGATGCCAATAACCAATAATGTGCCCAGTACATCGACACAACGCAGGTATTCATTTTTTATTCAACTTGAAACATATACCCGCTTATCAACCTATCTTCGCTGTCTTAACGCATTATCAGAAAGTGCAGGATATTATGCTTTTACGCCAAATTGTTTTTGAAGAATTTACGTAACCATTTCTTCTAAATTGTTGCGAACATTGAACTATATCTTTTTTTGCATGAAGAAACCGACAGATCATCTACTTGAACAATTTAGTCACTACGTTACTTTCTGTGTAGTTCTATTTCAGTTTCGCAATGCAGACGCAACGATGTCGACCGAATTTTATGAATTTTTCCGTTCAAAGTGATATAATAAGTGAGTCATACATGCCTCGTTTTTATTTCATAAGTCAGAAAGTAAAAAGCAAAAATTAAAATATATAATTTCGCAAAATGTTTGTAGGCGAATTATATCATTTACATAAATAAATCGCACGAGAAATTGCATTTTTGAAGACAGAGTTTCTTTCTATATAAGAAGCTGATATAACTGTATAAAAACATGCATATCATTATAATGTATTAAAAGAGATTATACATTTTGTGACTAAAAAAATTTACAATTTACTAATAACAAATTGAATTATAATTTTGAACAATACTTGATATTCAACTATCTATTTTTGCAACAATTAATTTTATTATTATTCTTTTTTAAATGATTAATTGGACATAAAACGAGCACGCTGTGATACAGAATTAATATTGAAAAAAAAAAGAAATATATAGTCTGTATTAAATTCACATTATCTATTAAACATATAAGCAAAGCGTGGAGGGTTAGTATAGTCATTAAAAATGACTATATCAACAATGTCTTTGGCTAGATGTAAAAGCAAACAGTATCTCTCGATTAGCTATTTCAGTTTGTTTCCAATATTCGTTTTTCCTACATCTCTTCGTGGAACAGCAACAGCTCTGTATGTACAGGTAGAGCACTTCTAATTGATCACAGAGATGCATGCAAACACCGAAGAGGAAACATCGGTGCCAATATACCCCGTAGATGTGCTGATTAACTAAAAAAAAATATACATATATATTAAAGAATGCAGATATCGTAGCAAATAATCTAAGCAATAAACAAACAGATCTTTTGAGGCAGTTCCATGCGCATCTCTTTTTGGAGTTAATATGATGTTTTATGAAGATGGCGACGTCGCAAAGGATAGAAATGACCTAATCATTGGTATAATAATAAAATATATGGAATTATCTGAAAGAAGAACGAATTTGCTCACACGTTATATAAACTATCATAATAGTGTGTCGTCATAAAATAAATATGAAGAATTATATAAGATATATTCAAAGAATACGTGTATATTTTTATTAAAAAATTATACTGGATTTACATGTACGTATTTAATTATTAATTTTGTGAACAAATAACAGTTCACAAAATTAATAATTATTCTATCTCAAAGAAGAGAAAACACAAGTACTGAAACTTACAATAAACATTTAATTTATATACAAAGATGGGTGTTTATATACCTATCTTTTAAAATAAGAAAGATCTTTTTATTTTGCTCGCTTGTGTCTAAAAAACATAATATGTACTTCACATGTTAAAGAAAATAACCTATTAATAAATAAGACAATTTTACTTTTAATTAAATAACTTTCTCTTGCATAACTCTGCAATTTATATTATCATAAACAACAATTCTGATAATTGTTAAACACATTTAGACGATTAGATTTATCTCTGCGAGCTATAAAAGGCAGCCCGCAATTTTACAAAATTTCTATCATGATTGAACTGTTATGAGTCGAACAGCCACATTATTCGCTGGAAAGAAAATTTGTGAAATATTTTTTTATTCTACGGTTGCATGACGCTATACATTGCATACATTAGGGTTACGGTGTCATGGAGGGTAAGCACCAGCTAACGCAGTTCATATTTTCACTCATTACTTATCGATTGAACGCATTTCGCTATGCACCCCAACATTGTATATTTCTGTAGCTTTGCGAATTTGTAGCCATTGTACATGGCCGGAAGTGACTATTCGTCATATGTAATTCGTAAAAACCTTATAGCTCTAATACATGTAATTGATTTAATAGTTTAATGATAGAGCATATGTCAGTTTCTTATATAAAATCCCTTTGACCCTTATACAAGGGCAGTGAAACGAAGTACTACCTTTTTTTCAAACTTTTTAATGATTCTTAATATTTAACTAATTAATATGTGCATTGATATAATTTATACTTCCGAAAATTTGAACTATCATTTTCTATAATATTTTCTGGTCATATTTTCAATTAAGAATGTATACTTTTAGTTATAAACTTTTGTTACAACAAATTCGATAATATACTTTTTTTATAACAAATTCAAAGCAAAAACGCAATTTAGTAAAGAATATTATTTATAATACATATACTATTTTCAGTACTGGCTGTATATGAAACACGGCTTCACTTTCATCATGGGATTCCTATTTTGGAGACTCGACTTAAAAAAAAAATCATTTTACTAGAACGGTAGTGAAAGATCACATAATACTACGTCTTTTATACGTCGTCTACAATACATGGAGTGAAAGAAGAAATATTAGGTTGAGTAAAAAGTCATCGCGTATTTTTTAGTTCGAAGTTGTATATACAATATCTTCGTCAATAATGAATGAAATTCAAATTTAAAAAAAGGGTTTTAAAGCTTGAAATCTCTACTTTTAAAAGCTTATCACATTTTTTAAGTTTATATGAGTTTGATAATTTTTACATACCAAAAACTACGAGCTGAAAAAGACGAAAAATTTTCTTCTCACTTTGTAGATTTGTAACGTGTCCAAAACGAATTTGAGAAAATTTTCGATTACCTATCGTGAAAGCTTGATACTTTCCCTACAAAATCGTTTTTTTTTTTAATATTCTTACGACTTTTGATTACTGAGTTATCGCGGATTAAATAAAATAATTATTTTGACTTTAATTGCTCATAACTCCATTAAAAATTGTCGTATCGTATAATTTAAAAAAGAGATTTTTAAAGCTTTACTTTATCAAGATATATTTATATTGTTGGTAAGAAAGTAATTGCGGTTTTTACTGATAGATGTCTTTTAAAAAAACGCGATGACTTTTTACTTGACCTAATAAGAGCAAGGAATTGACCAATAACAGTTAAATGTGAGAAGAATAATCGATTGGTCAATTTCTTTCTGTTATTTCTTATTTCATGTATTGTAGACGACGCATTAATCTATCTTTTGTGATTTTTACTTACGAGAAAATAAATCCCGCTGTCTCCATCTATTGGTATCTATTACATGAACGCTATTTTAGGAAGTAAAGAAAAACCGAATAGAAGGCACAACATTATGAATTTTTTGAAACGTCTAATAATGATGAAATAATGCCATGGAGAGCCTCCAAAATAAAGATGAATAAAGTTTTAATAATATAATTTTGTCCAAAAAGTAAAAAGCGAAATTAAAATTTTTATCAAATATATATACATATATATACATATATATTTCTAACAATATTTATTGAACAAGCATAATTTGTAATACAGAAAAATAAGAAGCGGAAAGTTTCAACACATTTTTAAAACTATCAAGATCCATAACATAGAATTTACCTACTTTTATACGGACGGGTACATTAGCACGAGCTATTATGAAATATACATCCCGTAGAATGTTTATAGGCAAGTCGTACCATTTACTTAAATAAATTGCGTAAGAAATTGCTTGCGTTTTTGACGATAGAGTTTCTCCCATATAGCTGTATATGAACAGCTGTATCATTAATATATTAATAGAGCTTATACTTCTCATGATAAGAACAAAATCACTATTTACCAACGATAGAATAAACTGTAATCCTATAAAATACCCGATATGTAACTATCTATTTTTGTAACAATTATTTTTATTATTCTTTTTTAAACAAATATTTGGAAATAAGTTAAGCATATTTGTGATAAAGAATTATTGAAAAGAGAGAAATATAGAATGTATGTTTTAAATTAAAATTACCTATTAAACATATAAACAAAGCGTGGAGAATCAGCTGAGCAATCAAAATGATATTGAGTACACCAACAATGTCTTTGGCTAGATTTAGAAGCAAACAGTGTCTCTCGATTAGCGTGACCATTTTACTTCGTTTCCAACAACCATTCTTCTTCTTTTCGTGAAACTGCAGCAATTCTTGACTGAGCACTTCCAATTGTCCACAGAGATGCATGCAAACACCAAAGAAGAAAACATCACTGCCAACATTCCCTGTGCATGTACTGATCAGCTGTATAGATTGAAGAATACACATACTGAAGCAAACGATCTGAGCATCGAATGGACAGATCATCTCTTGAGGTAGTTGCATTGCTCGCATCTCTTTCTCAGATTTTGCAATTAACGTTACGTTTTGTGAAGGCATCGTCGCAAAGGATAAAAGTGATTCAACTATTAATGGCATAATGACAAAATATGTGGAACCCATCTGAAAGAAGAAGACAAATCTACCTAGGTTGGTATAGCGAAACATGACTTGCCGATGATCCTGTTTTGTGGTATACGTCCAGTCATTCGATGCGTTGACGAGGTTTTTCAACAAGTTGTCGCGATGCAATCGTATCAGCGCTATCTTTACAATAGTCAAAGTCCCGCATGACGCTAACATGAGGTGATCAATGGCCATAACCAGAGTGACATTGTTGTGAAAACTAATATCCACGCTTATATAAACTATCATCATAGTCTGTCAATATAAAATAAATATATGAAAGAATATAAGATTATCGAAAATAAAAATCGAAGCGTAAGTCGAATGTAAATTAAGAGTAATAGAAGTATCAACTAAACTTTTTAAGAAGCATAAATTGAAATAGCGTTTAAAAAGTAAACCCTCGCTGTTCCAATTTACGCTTTCTAAAAATTTTGTTGACACTTTTGTTACTTTGCCTTTACATTTAACTTATACTCCGATTTTTATTTTTGCCAAGGAAAGAATATATTTTATTAGAAAATTTTATTTGCAATACATATAAACAATAACTGCACAAAATTAATTATTAGTCTATTTTAATCTTGCGCGAACTAGGTGAAAAAAATCAATGAGATTGATTTTTCCATCTGGTTCGTGGAAGTATAACGGTAAAGTATAACATAGTATATAAGATATCCCACATGGCGAATCATGTGTGGGGTATCACACACCCCATGTTATACTTCCATAAATGTACTAATTTAATACGACTAGCAATGTTGCAATTCCGACTACATAACTCTTATAGAAATTTAATACTAGTACTGACCAATTAATTACATATTTTGAGTATTAAAAGTATTGTTAATAGCACTTTTAATCAAAATATGTGATTAATTGGCCAAAATTAGTATTAAATTTCTATAAAGAGCAATTTGAGCCCAGTATTGTGTGTGTGTGTGTGTGTGTGTGTGTGTGTGTGTGTGTGTCAACCTTATCTAATTTATCGAAAATTAAAAAAGATAAAATGTTAACCCTAGTATGATATTGTTATTTTTTATTACCTTCCTTATAACACCAGGATTTGTAAAATCCTGCAACTTTATCACGCTATATCTTTGGACTGAATATGTATTTTTTAGCTTAAAACTGTGAAATTTATACCTCAAAATCAGACAAAGACAGATAAATATGAATAAAAAAAATAACATTCTATTTTCAATTAATTATAATGCTTCAAAAAAATTTTATTGAAAAAATTCGCAAAAAATGACTATTTTGGATAAAAAATTCTCAAATTTTTTAATTTAATGTTTAAGCAAAAACTCATAGAATTTTTTTAGTTGAACCTTTGGATTAACAAAAAAAATAGTACGATATGAATAGCTCAAAAAAGTATAATTATTTGAAAATCGAATATTTTTGACTATCGAAAATCGATAATTTTTGAAAAATCTACATATTTTAAGTTTACGATTAATAAGTAAAATTTTATTATTTGAACAATATAAAAGAATAATAATATAAATCGATAAGGGATTGTACATGTATAAATATTATTATAATATGTATAATTAGGTTTGTTAGGATTTAGTTTAGAGAATGATGCAACATTCGCTCTAAAGTAATAAATCTGCCCCAAGCGATCTCCGAAGACTAATAAAAATTATAAAACTTCTATATATTATATTGAAATATAATTCTTTTAGTTCTACATTTTCGTGTACTTTTATACTATCCGAAACTCAGTAAACGTATATTTAATAAAAAATAAAGAAATACCCAGAACGCCGAAAACTTACAAGCTAATCATATGTAGGTCCCAAGTATCCTTTTGTGCATTCTCATATCGAGAATAACGCAAAAAAAATACTCTTGCAGGCTTATCATATCTATGGACAGTTAAAGTTTTTTTTCAGTTTCTCACACATACACACAATCCAGGTCTTCAATTATATTATAAAAAAGTTACAGCAATGTAAAAAATCGCATAGGATACATTGAACCAATGAATATCATACTAGGGTTAAAACTTGTAATAAATTATTTCCCTGTAAACAATTAAAAATAGCGTTAATGTTATAATTTCACATTCAACAATGTAAATAAATATAACATATATAATATAATAATTACATTGTTGAGTATAAAATTATAAGGTTATGGATATTAATATTTTAGTGTTTTAGTATTTACTGAATTACTATAAATAAATATATACATTGACTAGTGAGTTAACACTTTGATTATGACATATACAAAAGTTAATATTCAATTCTTATCTATCTAACAAAATCTTTTTATATATTTTATTTATCTAAAAAAAAGTATAATATGCACTTCACGTGTTAGAGTAAATAATATATTAATAAATAAAACGGTTTTATTTTTAACTAAATAACTTTCAATTAAATAACACTTAAATTTACCTGTGTGACTATAAGAAACAGCGCACGCAATTTTGCAAAGTTTCTATTATGATCTAAAGGCCATGAACCGAGCGGCCACATTACTCGCTTATACAGAGAAAATTCGCGAGACATTTCTTTGTTCCATGTTTTACATGATGCCATCCTCGCATGTTAAAGATTACGGTGTCATTGAACGTAAGCATTAGGTAACGCAGCTTATGCATTCATTCATTATTGATTGGAGCACATTTCACTATGCACCCCGATGTTGAATATTCTTGTGGCCTTGCACATTTGCAGCCATCACACATGGCAGAAATGACTATTCGTTATATATAATTCGGAAAAACGGACAAATATGTGTCATTGGTCTAACAGCTTAATAATAAGGTACATGTCAGTTTCTCCTATAGGGAGAACTTACCCCTTATAGTCTCACTGCGAAACTTTATCATGAAGAAATAAATTTTTACTTTATATCATCGCGAAATTTGCGACTAAAGAATATTGAAGATCCGAGAGAAGTATATTTGCAAAGATAAGTTTACGAAGATATAGTAAAAAATCATCAGTAGGTAATTCTTTATATTAAAAATTCTTTTCTCAATTTAATATAAGATTTAATTAAAGTTCATTTATAAGCATAATTAACTTTTTATTTTAAAAATATTATTACAAAATATTCAAAATGTTATAATAATAAAATGATATTTTTTATTGTCTTATAATATTATTTTTATAATAATAATAAGCTCTCACTAGTTTAAACTATAAAATGTTTGGAAAGGTATAATTATACTAGAAGTATATAATTAGAAAAATTATATTAAAAATATGCAGTTATTATTTTATAATATCAATTATAAACTTGCGAGATCAAGCTAAAGTCATTCGACGAAAACAGCTGATTGATCGCTAGCACGACTTTTATATCAACTGATCGAAAGTGCGAAAGTGCAAGACAATAGACAATAGAAAACAACTAAACAATTATTTAACCATTCAGCTAATCGGCTCTGCTTTAATTTATTTTCAGAGATTGGAAAACGCGGAAATATTCTTGAACAAGAGAGAGATAAAACTTTGAATCTATATAATTTGTGAAATACTTGATAATAGTTGTCCGTGTTAATCAAGTTGCGATCTGATTAATTTACGTTTACTACACTCGTGAATATTATTTGATCTTGTTTAACATTTGAACAACAAAGATTCCAAAAGTAATCTCATTATCGCATTACTTTATCAAATCTTCTTTTCGATGGTCGCTTCAATCGCACTGTCGACATTGCTTTGATTGCCGCACTATAAGTGTACATTCGCGATTAAAACTGTAAATAGCCATATACAATCATATAAATACAATTTTTGTCAAGTGCATGTCAATCTCGTCGTAAAAAAATTTTTTTTTTAATCAATGTTTGCATCCACTGATTTGTTGATCCCATGTTATGATGTGAACGTTTCCGTCTTTAAGTATACAATTTTAGACATAATTAATATATTTAAATATATTGCAATATTTTTTTTTCTCATATTTTATCAATTGTTTTAAAGAGATAACAAAAACACATTGTTACTATATAAAAGTTAAACATTAGGAAAGAGATTTCATTTTTTATAAAAATGTATAGGCATGATGATTAGAATTAGTTGTAACATATTTAAAAGAAGATTGTATTTTTCTAAATATGTATATATTTTTAATATTATACATAAAAAAAAATTGATTTGGCACAATTGACGATTACACATTATAATTATGATTAACAATTTTATTAAAATAACGTTATAATTAAAATTGATATTTCTTTACAAATCTTTGTCTTGCTAAATCGCCGATTTAGAATTTCTGTAGAATTCTTTTTTTTTATATTTTATATTTTATGTTTCTACCATTACTCGAAGAACAGACAGATACGTAATAGAAGCTTTTAGGATGCTCATGTAGGTTGATAAATTTACCACAATAAAATGTCCAGCTCGCAATGTGACGGGAGATTCTGATCGCATAATGACAAAAAATAAGTTTCTTGTCAATTTTGTGGGAAAATCATACCAGGTGTTTTGATAAACACAAAGTCCTACTTCTTCCATCTGAGATTTTAGATAATCCCCGACAAAACTATATAACGTTAATTGTGACAGAAAAGCACTTTGCACCATTATACTTTTAACTGCCATAGCAGTGTCGTTGTCTTTCAATGCTAGAATAAATTGAAAACCTGAAAAAGAAATTATTTGTTTAATAGATCCTTATAACATAATTCTATATGTTATGAAACAACAAATGATGTAATAATCACCTACTATGCATAATTGTAAACTGATAATAGATAATTGAATTAATAAAATAAAACTAATTGTATCAGCAAGTTCTCTGGCCAATCTTAACAAATAGCTGTGTCTTTTAATTAGTGTGAGAAAACGTTTATAAACTTGCGGCCTCGTAACATCAAAATCGATAAATTTGATTTTCAAAACTTCCACTTGACCGCAAATGTGCAGCGTAATGTTGAGAAACAAAGAGTCGTTACCTTAATAGAAAATTAATTAATACGATGCTGTAATATTATATTAATATACAGATTGATATATGGATATTCAATATTATTTAAAAAATATTATTTCTATACTTATACAAAAAATTAAATTAAAGTATATTGCATTAAAATAGCCAATAATTTTTTTTTTTAATTTTTTACATTTGTATAATTGTATACGTTCTTACTTTCATATCTTATGTGCTACATCTTTATAAACATATTTTTTAATTTTTACAATATATATTTTGTTTTTTTTTTTTTTGCGTAATATACAAAGAGTTCGAAAAATAATGATAAATTTTCTCACAGAATGGACTAAACTGAGAAGAAAAATCCTCCGTCATTTTGCAATTTTCGCAATAGTTAACAAGATATTAATTGCTAAAAATTGCCGAAAAATTGGTCTACAATAGTTTTTTATTCAAATACAATCAACTTTACACAAAAACTACAAAAGACAAAAATTATTTATTTTTTTCTTATAGAACTCTACAAATTTTTTCAGAATTTTTTATTAACTTTTTAGTATTGCATTTTCTCATTTTTACTAACATGAGAAAATACGGTATTAAAAAATTTCAAAAATATTAAAAATTTTTTAGTTCTACGAGAAAAAAATAAACAATTTTTGTTTCTTGCAGTTTTTCTGTAAAGTTGATAGTATTTGGTAAAAATTTATTGAAGACCACTTTTCGGTAATTTTTAGCAATTAATATTTTGTTAACTATTGCGAAAATTGCAAAATGGTAGAGAGTTTTTCTTCTCAGTTCAGTCCATTCTGCCCCCATGCAAAAGATTTATCATTATTTTCCAAACACCATGTATACATACAATACGTATTTATATCCACATTAGAAGTGTATAATTTTTTACAATAAGCCTTCTTAAGCTGATAGTAATATTAAAACATTTAACAATATTAAAATAATTTGTATCTTTTACTTCTTATTTAATTTAAACAAAATCTGTGTTGATTCCATTATTATTTATGCTATCAAAAAACTGATTGGTCTTTAATGTATTTAAAATTATTTAAACAAAGATAATTTTCGTAAAATAATGTCAATTTTCGTAGTGTAATATTATTTATAACAGACAAGAAGGCACAATACACATATTATAGAAATTTTTTTTAATTTCAATTATATAATTTTGCATTTATAAAATGTTCTAAACATTACATAATACAAAAAAATAAACAAAAATATCAAACAGTAAATATTACCATGATTAGTAGTACTTGTTAGAATAAGCGAGATAGCTTCGATGAGACACAAGATTGTATGCATACTTGTTGGAACATTGAAATACTCCAAAGCACATCTTGATGGTACTGTATACTGTAACATGGCTTCACTCGTTATATTTATTTTATTATTAGCATTACCCAAAAAAGGAATTATTGTGTATAGTAGACAACTAAAGTAAGAAAAACACATTAGAAAACAGCAGAGAATTCTTCCCGTAGACGCATGTTTTCGCATAATGGCCCGATGTTTTGCGTTTTTAATCCTCAAATAATCATTTAGAGCAGAGCTATAATTGTTAGTCAAATTCCTTGCGTGAATGCGAAACCATACTGTCTTCAGTATACCAAGTATTCCGCAACAGAGTAACATAAGGCTGTCTACGTTCTGTTCAGCGTTATTGCAGTCCGTGTAGAGTTCGATGGAAGGCAATATTACCATTAGGCTCTGTTGATATGTATAAATTTATATTTTATATAAAGCTTTATGTGTTTAAAAAAGATGCGTCTGCATTCTACTTTGATGAATCTTTATTAATATTAATTGCAAATAATAGTTAGAAACTAATACAAATATAGCTACAATATTCTGTCTATGCATAAAACATAAAAAGATATTAGAATATAAACCAATCTGATTTAAAGATAAAGAATGGTATATAATTATATATTTAAAGATTTAATGTTATCTGCACGAAAAGAATGAGATTTTCCTGAAATATCTAAAAACTTAAATAAAAAACTGAAAATAATTTCATTGAATCATCAAAAAATAATTATGCAGAAAACTCAATGATATGCAATGCTGCAAATAATGTTGACATTCAATGCAATTAGTTTGAGCATCTTATATAATTATTTTGTGCATTTTATGTATTTTAGCCCAACAAAATTATTTTTAGATTTAAATTTTATAGATATTTCAGGAAAACTTTTCTTTCCATGTGTATATCTTTCAAAGTTTTCTTCACTCAGAACTATTCCCTAAATCTAAAAGTATAATTTAATCAACGCAAAAAGAAAACTTTTAACAATTGCAAAATAAACATTCTATTAAATACAACCAATGAGAATTTATTTGCCATTCTATATTCATTTTGTCTTTCTTATACAAATTGTAAAATAAACCATAGAATACATGTAGAATGTATTATACTTAGAATGAATTAGAATTATTATAATTAACTATTATCAAGCATGAATAAGCAACAACAGACATAAAGATTTTAAGAAAAATGATTTTTGTTTGTCAAAACTTCCAAGGGCTTACGATTGTGCTTATTTATGGCCCACTCACGTTATTTCTAGAAAGAAATATTTCACGTTGTCAACGAGACATCTATTGTCCAGGAGTACAGGAGGAGTCAAGCACTTGGTATTGCCATTGCGAAGTTTTGTTTAGGACGATGTGATGTGGAAGATGTTTTACGTATATGTCCTGGGACTATCACGCAACAAGGTTCACTGACATCGAAAAAGATGCATACCACGCAACAGGTAGCAAAGATGCATCGTAAGAGCGAATAGACGTTATAAACTTGAAGTGGCCAAACGCCGATGGGCCACGTTAGCAATTTGAAGGGGATCATTGCGTACGAGACATCGTCTTTCCATCGTATATTCGTCATCGGGACGAGGTAATAACTGTAACTGATGCCAATGACTGATGATTTGCTTCGTACATAGGTGTAATGCCACTATTTCGATTCATTTTTTATTCAGCTAGAGACATATACCCGCTCATCATTCTGCCTACACTCTTAGAGCATTATAGTAAAACATAGAGAATTAGACTTTTATGCAAAATTTCCACTGTTACACAAGAATTTATACGACAAAATAAAATATGATAAATTTTCTAAGGTATCGTTCATCGAATAACTACTTTTTTCATTGCACGAATTGTTAGCTTTATTGTATATATTTCCTTTTGTGTAAGCTCTAATTGTCATAAATCTTATTTCTATTTAGTATCCTTTTAATTGAATAGAGTAGAAATTTTTTAATTCATCCAAAAATAAAAATACACATTGTGCAAATAATTTATTTTTTTAATTTATATTCGCATACTACTCACTATCTCTGTCAGCTATTCGATAAAGAATTATGAATTATGAGTATATAATATAGTATATAACACGTCAAAAATTTTCTATTCTCTTAATTTAGATATATTAATTTAATAATAAGTTAGAATATATGTGTACATATATTATTAATAATTAATATAACATAGAATAATTTGGCATAGATGATTATAATAATTAAACCAGCAACTTTATTTATTAAGACAGTATTTCAATACATCCTTTCTTTTATGCATTTAAATCACTATTAGATTCTAATAATATTATTTTCTTTTATATAAAGTTATATGTGTGTAAAAAAAATATGTTCAAATTCTACTTCAATAATCCGACTACGATAAGTTCTAACTATAAATATAAATATATATTTATAGTTTCTAGAACTGCTATATTTTTTAATTGTATACATTATATTTCACACCTTTACCATTACACGAAGTACAGAGAGATATGAAAGAGATGCTTTCAAGATGCTCACGTAAGTTACCAAATTTACTACGATAAAATTTCCAGCTTGCAAAGCAACGGGGGAATCTGAACACATAAGAATGAATATCATATGTCTTGTTAGCTTTGCAGGAAAATTGTACCAACTGCTTTGATAAATAGAAAGCCCTATTTCCTCCATTTCGGATTTTAAATAATCTCCAATAACACTGTATAAAGTTAATTGTGTTATAAAAGTACTTTGTACCATTATATTTTTTGTAATTAAAACAACGTTGTTTTCACCTAATTGTAAAATAAGTTGAAATCCTAAAAAAAATATTTGTTTAATATAGAATATAGATCTTTATATCATAATACGATTTGCAAAATAATTATAAATAATATGTCATTTACACATACCCATTATGCACAAAAGAATACTGATAATAAATAATTCTATCAGCAAAACAAAACTAATCATTTCGGCAAGTTCTCTGGTCAATTTTATTAAGTATTTATGCCTTTCAATTAGTACGTTGAAACGATCGTAGATATGCAGGTCTTTGATATCAAAATCAAGGAAATTAGCTCTCAGAATTTTCATTTGACCACAAATGTGCAATGTAGCGTTCAGAAACAAAGCGTCATTACCTTTCAATTATCAAAAGAAATAATACAGACTACCAGTCTACTGGTAAACTAATATACTTCTACATACAGAACTGTATTAATACTTTCTTATTATTGCGATTAAAACG